CTTGGACCATAAAAACCATGAGATCTTCATGCACACCTCAATGTGTTGACTTGAATACAGGAATTATTTATTGAAATTCTATGATGTATGCCATGCAGCACATCATACTTCATGATTAATGCTCTTTCTATAATGGTTCTTATTAAAAAAAGATACCTATAAATGATATTTCTTTCTGTTCTGTCTTTCTGGCTAATGTGGAGAATTAAAAATTAGGGGTGCACTGATAAAGATTTTTTGGGCTGATACTGAGGGCCAATTATTGACCAGCCATATGAGCCAATGCCAATCTCATTGCCAATATGCAGCCTGGCAAGCAGCATTCAGCTGGTAAGTAAGTGTTGTGGGGAAGCAAGGGGGGACGGAAAGGGTGTGGGAAGGTGCATATTGAGGCACCCGCGGTGAGGGAGGGAGTGGGGCTGGGGCACAGGCAGCCGCTGTACAGCAGGGGTGGGGTGGGGCATGGGACAAAGCCACAGCTCATCTAGAGGCTGGCTCCCACCACTGCACGCACCACCAGAGGAGGCATAAGGGGGCATGTGCCCCCTGGATGTGTGCATGGGGCAAAGGCAGGTGGTGGGCTTGGGGCTGGGGCTGCACTGTGCTCTTCCTGGTATGGGGGAAGCGGGGCCTGGCTTGGGCTGCACTTGGGCCAGGTGGGAGTGGGGCAGGTGGCAGCAGGGCTGTGAGGGGAGCTATGGAGCGGGGGGTACTACAGCCACCCCAAAATTCATCATAGCCTCCCCCCCCAGTGCCGCTGCCACCTGCCCTGCCCTGCCCCCTCATGGCCTGAGTGGAACCCAGGCCCAGGACCCTGCCACAAGGAGCCCAGCGCAGCCCCAGCCCAAAGTCCACAGCAGGCAGCCCACCTTCACTCTGCACACAGAGCTAGGGGCATATGCCCCTTCAAGCCTACACCAGGGGTGCACATAGTAGTGGGAGCCCCCTCCTGACCCCCCCAGATGAGCCATGGCTCCATCCTGTGCCCCACCCCACCCTGGCTGGGCAGCACCTGCCCCCGCCCCTGCCCCTGCCCCAGCCCCACTCCCTTCACCACTGCAGGGGCCTCGATCTGCCCCCCACCAAGCCCCTTCCCCTCAATAGACTTACTGGCCAGATGCTGCTCTCCAACTCCCCAGGCTGCACTCCTGGCCCCGTGCGTGCTGTAGCTGTGCACATGCATGTGGCATTTAACAGCAACATTATCAGCCACATCAGCCAAAAAAAGCTAATTGCTGATAATGTCAATTTTCCTTTTATCAGTGCTGATATGATATGGACCGATGTATCAGTGAACCTCTATTAAAAATGATAATTGCCAATTCCACCACATATAAAATGAGAAACTTACTCTACCCAAGGCAATGGAAACCTATCCTCAACCTATTTGATAGCCAGATTCTGGAGGAAACTATTGTGGCATGAGGAAAACATTCCTATGGAGTTCAGTAACGAAGACTTACACCACCCAAGCACAAACTCAGCAAGTCCTTATTTTCCTGCTTCAACACAGTTCTACCATTAAATTTCAGGCAGTGGGGAAGGATCTTAACAGGATTTTGGAATGTGGTCTGTATCAGATACTAAGGTCAGCCAGAAAGATGAAGCAAGGACCCTAAAGTCACACTCCTACTCAAAGATGAATTAATCTTTTTTCCCCCAAAATGTAAACTATATTTGATTGAAATATCAAATTAGAGCAAAAATTTGAGCTGCTTCTTATTTTAAGAAAGCCATTTTGCCCATCCCTAATAAAAGATCCTTAAATATATAACCTAATTCATTAATCACTGTTCTCTACCAGATGTTTATTTTAGTGAGAAAGCATCACTGCAAAAGGCTTGTAGGTCTCGGTTTAAAAGATCCTCTATGCTATGGTATTTTGCTCAGGGACACACAGGCCCTTTTGGCAGGAAAGCAACACTTATACAGCTAACTGGAGCCATTCAAATGGCATTTTAAGCCATGTACACAGATTTTTATATATTTGAGATCTAACTCTCCCCTGACAAACCTGTCATATTGAGCACACTGACTGCTTCTCCCAATGTGACAGAAGCTGTTGCACTGCTGTTAATCCACTGTATCCAATTATTATAAATGCAAGATGCAGAAACATCAGTGTGGGGGCAGGAGCAGGGCCAGAACCCAGGGTTACTTCCTTTCTAGGCCAGTGCCCTTTGACTTGCTTTCTTTCTGACCCACATATATATTCCCATCCTAGCTATTCACTAGGAATGGGGATTGTAGCAATGCCTAGCCCATGCCTGAGTGATTCGGGTACTTGGTTGGGAAGTTGGAGATGTAGGTTCAAACTCCCTCTGGGTTAGGGGCCCAAGAATGTAGGTCTCCTACTGCTTGGACAAGTGCCTCAAACACTAAGCTATCAGGCTAAAAGGTGAGGGAAGCTCCCTCATCTTCCTTTGCTTCTGTTAGACTCACACAGGATTACACATCTTCCCACAAGATGTAGTATCTAAAATCTGCATAAGCAGCCCAGAATGCCACTTCTGCAATTAAGTTGGCTACGTAAGTGCTACCTCCCTATTTAAATGTGGAGTTGGATTTGGGTCAAATAGTTTATCAGTGCACCAAGGACAAACAGAAAACTATTTCTGGCCATGCAAGCAAGTATTAATTCAGACTTCTTTTGAATAGTTCTCATAATGGTTGTCTCTAGTATTAGGTCAGGTATAGAGAGAAATTGTCCTGGGATATGAACCATATTGTTTATAAACTGGATTCATTCAGTAGGAGCTTTTATCCATTTTCTATACACGGAAATATTACACTCCAGATCCAGGCAGTTAGTTACATCTACAATGTAATTATTCCTTCCACTGTTGGCTCATCTCTCCCTGCTGTTGTGTCAAAAGTACTGCTTCTTCGCAAAGGGTAAGAAACAAAAGGCAGACTTCTTTTGGGAAACCACACTGTGCAGTGGAAGGGGGATTGAAGAATGTGTTGAAAGAAAAGTCCTCAAAAACCCCCCAAAGTATTATCATTTCTCACCAAAATGCAAACAGATTTTACAGCAAGGATCTGCTTGAATTAATCTAGCATCAGCGATACAGCAGAAAGTAAACTAGGTTTAAGATTCTTAAAACAGCCCACAGTGAATTGATTAATTTCAAATTAATTCTTTTGTCAAGCCTAGTGACCATTTAAACTAGTTGGCTTCACACTAGGATTTTTCATGGAACAGCTTTCCCTCTCATTTCTATAAGATTTCATATAAATACAGAATCTAGGAATACATAGATTATTTCAGTGAGCTCTTTCTTGCAATATATAGCCAAGTAAATGGCTCATGGTTATTACATCTGCAATTCTTCTAATATTTCAGATGGATTAATTAAAAGGAAAAATGATACAAATGAGAGAGGGCTGCTGGTGCTTCGACTGTGTTATTACAAACCTATATATATTTAAATAAAGATACTGAAGTCGCATGTTAAAATCCATAAAATGTCCACGGAGTGATGACTACTAAGAGTCTTGTTCATGTCAAAGATGACAGGTCCCTTGGTAATCAGAGATCTCTGGGATTCCTAAGGGATTATACAGGTAAGAAGAAATTTATGATTCACCATGCCATTCTGCCAGAGGAAAATCCATATTGCATTTCAGGAAATGTAATTCTCAAGGAAGCCCAGTCCATATGAGAGAATATGGATCTGAACAATCATTCCATAAGGTAGTCCACCAACAATGAAATGAGATTTAATGCTTTGATGTAAAATGAAATGCTTTCACTCAATTTAAAAATGTTTAGAAAATATTGTGTATGGACTGTTTTAGTAAGAACAAATTTTTCAGAAAAAAAATAATTTGAATGAAAACTGTAAAATACCCACTTTGGTCTACAAATGAGCATGTTGCCATAAAATTGATGCTCTTGCCCTATCTCTGCTTCCTAGGAACCCACTTCTTCCCACTCTTT